TTATTCTTCCAGTACGGGCCCAAGCAAGCTTGGTTAATAAGAGATTTATTATACAACTGAAGTTCAAAGGGACACAATTGTGGTATCATTCGGGACCATTCAGGACGGTGCCCGGTCCAATACTGAGAGAATATTGACTGGCAATAGAGCATTTTGATTGGTTAATTTTAGTTATTGGCCCTCTGACTGCGTGAGTCGTGTAATAAAACCAATTATTTCTAAGAATGTCTGGGTTAGGAAACATTCTAGTGAATTGTGTGACCTAAGTTTGGCAATCATATACATATAGCAATTAAGTTGTAATGCTTTTATTCCTTCATTGTGCACCTTAGGGTGGTACAAAGCAGGAAGACTTGTGCTAAGGAGTATTTCTGCAGGGTGAAGGGAAGGATGGGTGCAAGATTGGTGTAACTTCAACTAGGTTTTGTGTCTTCTTCATTTTAGGAAGCAAGATGTTGGCAACTTTCTCCTTTGTGGTAATTGGGACTTTAACCACCCAGGTATTGCGATAGAAAAAAAGTCTGCGCATGAAACAATTTTGTTCAAACCCTTGAGGGAGGGTTCATATTCATAAATGTTATGCTGTTAGATATAGTTGTTGTAGATATAGTGGATTTGCCCTAAAGGTGTAGGTGACTTGTTAATTTCATAATTGAGTAGAGTTGGATGAAATGACTTTTTATTTTATTTATTCAAGTTGCATTCTCAGAATAACATTACTTGAGAGACAATTGTTATTTAGCTTTAAGGTTAGTTCTTTATTTAAAAAAAAAAATAGAAAAAAGAAACATTAACAAGAAAGATAGAAATACTTGATTGATCAACTTCCAAGATCTGATTGTTAATTCTCCCCTATGGCTGCAACACATTTTCTTGTAAATTATTCATGAGGATTTGGTGTTAGATCAAGATGACAAGTTCTACCTGATAAGTTTGAGTATTCTTATTGCCCATTTGCTGGATATGGTAAGGATATAACAGGGAGAAGTTACATGTTGATCACTTCTGGGAGTTAAAAGGGCTGATAGTAAATAAATAATTATGTCACAGAAGGCTATTATTAGATGATCATCAAAATTTGATTACCTACTTTGTCCCCTAATATTTTACTTTTTTTTCTTTCTCATGTTAACTCTAAAAGGAAAGCCAATGATTACATGTTTTACTTTATGCTGCTGGGGAATTAATTTAAATCAATATCTAAAGCTGAAACAATCAAAATGGGTGGCATAAAATTACAGGAATGCAATATTTCTTGTGTATGTTCAAAGTAATTGAGTTTCTGAACAATTCTTTGATAGCAGTGCTAGTAGCATAACATACATCATTATTAACCTATATCATTATTATTATTATATCACAATGTTTGTGATCTCTTTGCTGCCTGGTTAGCTTATGTTTAAGAGCACAAGACTGCTGTGCAGAATATTGAGGGTTGAAGCCCCAGACCAGACCAACACTCAGGGTCTTACAATAACTGAGGAGAATGTGCTGCCTTTGTTATGATATCTGAAAATGGTTAGACGTTCTAGTCTTCTTTAATAAGGACGAAAAACTGTAGGCCCTGTTGCCTGCATCTTCTCTGTACCGGTTAGCAGGGGGATGCTGAAGAACCCACACACTTATCTCAAAGAGTAGGGAGTTGTTGTTAATTATACAATGTACCTGTNATATCATAAAGTTTTTTTAATTATTATGGGCATATTATACATGAAAAGAACATTTATGAGTTTTTCTTCAAATGAAACAATTATTCCACTCGCGCTTGTTGGATATGAGATGATTATAGCCAACTCGGCGCTACGCGCCTCGTGGGCTATCTATCATCACATATCCAACGCGCGCTCGTGGAATAATTGTTAAATATATGTTATTGACTAGCCAGAGGTCCGTATTGGGAAAAACTGTGCCCGAGGTCTTGGATACTCAAGACAGAGGGCACAGTTTTTCCCAATACGGACCGACCTATGCAGGTCAATAACATTTTTATTTTTTTCGAACACATAAAAAAATGATTGCCATAAGAACCCTTTGGGTCTTTTCGAGTTGTTTTGATATCTGTCTTCTCGGGATAAACCTGCATTTGATTCCAATTTCTATCGACTTACAACAGATTTTAGTAAGCTACCAGTCAAGTACCCGTTATTTCGTCTGTACATGTTGTTTAGGTTGTTAAGACTGAGTTTGAGGGTCTGTTTAACAATTGCAGATAATTAGAATTACATTCCCATTTCGATAGCGCGATACCTTTGACTGCTGGATTTTGTATGGGAGCAAAGAAAAAAGCTTTGTTGCTGTAACGGGATAATTGTGGTTCGCAAACGTTCTGGTATTGGCACAAGTTACGTTCGTCTGACCACTCTCGTGTTAGTTTTACCGTATGGCATCGGACAGCGGTCAGGTGCCTCTTCCAAATTGTTTGGTGAAATAGGCCAAATGTAAACAAATCCAAAGTCTTTGTTTATTCGCGCGTCACAATTTCCCACTAGTTTTTGCATATTTCATGCAAGACTGAGCACCACTTCATAAGAGGTGCGTTTTATTGTGACGCGTGATGTTAGACGTCAACTTCCTTGTTACTGCGGTCAGTGTAAAACGTAGACTGCGGACTGCAGACCGGAAGTAAAATGCAGACTGCAGACTGCAGACCAGGGGTAAAATGCAGACTGAGGGTAAAATAAAATATTAATACTAAAAAGAAGACTTGGGAGTGTTAATTCCCACGCGTACCCGTAATTTGTTTTTCAAAATCTCGAAAACTCAAACCAAAAGGCGTTTATTCGCTTTAGTCAAAGATATTATGAACTTCGAGTTCTTGAACTCCCCATTTTGTTGAACAAAGTTTCCCAAAAGCGCCCAAACTGATCGTAATGCTATGCATCTTACTTTGTTTACATGTCGACCATTTTTGAACTGTGCTTTCGCGAATAGGTCTGGGACCTAGTAACTCTTTCAGCATTCAAATTCTTCATATGGCCTTAGAAGACAAGGCAAGCAAAACACGTTTGGAAGACAACGCAAGCAAAGCACGACAGCACAACAATAAGGAAAGGTAAACTTGTAGGTATCGAGCATAGTTTGTGAAAGACATTCAATCTTTGTACTCGACTTCAATGTATTAAGAGGTTTGTGAATTGATATTGCTGAAAGGTGACGGTGGGCTATCCAAACACGAAAAGTTATAACATGAAGCGGCCTTTGTTGTTTTGTGAGTCTAAGTTTTACAATGCATCAGAGCCAATATGGCTGAGTCTGCAAAACCAAGGAGGACGTAGTGCATCGTACTTTTGGCCTGCAGCAACAAGATATCAAGTCAAACCCACGCACTACCAAAGAGAAACTTGTTTGATTAACTGCAGTGCAATCAATCCTAAGGACCTTTCAAAGTTTAGGAACAGAACTTTTCCAGGCTTTCCCCCTTACGTCCAACGTGCGTTCGACATAAGAGGTGCGTCGTCTGTACGTGTTGATAAGGCGGTGGAGTGGCTTAGTTCGAAAAAACCTCCGCATTTCATCGCTCTCTGTTTTAAACAGCTCGATAATACAGGTCACGCATACGGACCTTTCTCAAACGAGTACAAGCAAATGATAAAACATATTGATGTAAAAGTTGTTGGATACTTACTCAAGCCTTTAAATGAAAGTGGTTTTCTGCAAAAACTGAACTTAACAGTGGTTAGCGATCATGGAATGGATAACTCATCGTCTAGTCGTCGAGTGT